TTAAGGGGTAACACACCACTGGTGGTATTTAACCCTTAAGGGCTCTATAGAAACAATTTTAGCAGAGCAAAGTAAAATACATGGAAAAAAAAAAAAATAACAACAAAATCCCCACGGGGGAAGAGTATCAAATATTAAAGTAGTTTTAATATTTAGAAGGTGATACTCACTTGAGATTGAAATCAGCCCAAATTGATGTGTGCAGCAGAGACAAATATGGGACAAATCAGTTATAATAATCAAAAATCAGAACTAATTAAAAAAAAATTTAAAAAAAGGATGTAGGGGGGAATAAACAGAATTTTTCAATATCTAGAGGAACGGAAAATCCAATCCGTGGGTGCCCGGGGCAGCGAGGGCGCGGAGTGGGGCTGGGTTGCGAAGAGGTTTGAGGTTTTTGGGGTGCAAATGCACCCGGGGTTTGCTGGGGGTGGGGGGGCTTGGAAAAGGGGGACACCTCCCTGGAGGTTAAAGTTTTCGCCGTCCCCCTGCGTTAACCACGGCGGCGGGTGCTGCGGGGCGGTGCCGGCACACGCGGGTGGGCGCAGGTGGTCACGGTCCCGTTTGGGATATTTCAGCCCCCCCGGGGATTGCGTCGGGCGTCGGGCTCGGCTTTTCTGGAGGTTAAATTTGGGAGGGGTTTGGTCCCGAAAGGATTGTGTCGTCCGCGAGGGCTCCCTGCTGCGAGAAGGGCTTTGGAAACCCAGCGGGATCAGGTGGTTGATAGAAGAAATTGAGACAAAATCAAAACCAAAATCCAATAAATGTTATTTCCAAGATCTCTTCTTGCGATGACGGATGCACACGTGGTGTGGCCGGTCTTGGATGGTTTTATTTCTGCGGAAAGCTTCATCGTCATACTTCTCTGCCTCTTCTGTCTGCAGCTGATACTCCCAAAAACTGTTTGTGGTTAGATTCCTTGAATAAATCCAGCTCGTCTGAGAGCAGGCAGCCGCTGGCGTCCGCCCAAGCCAAGGGTCTTCCAGGCGGCTGCGGGAGCATCCGAGCTGCGCGATTCGGACCGAGGACCATCCGGTACATCTATCCGTGGGCAAAACCAGGGGAGTCAGCAAAAAACCATCTGCTCAAAGCCCGATGGCCTCTCCTTTTTGAAAAGGAGTAAAAAAGAGGAGAAAAAACAGTCCAAGGAGGTTTCCACACCCCATTGGGACATCCTGGGGTGTTGTAGACACTGGAGAGGACAAAACCCCTCCTGCGTATTTTCTAGAGAATAAACTTCCATTGGCAGCAGGGTGGAATTAATGATCTAAAATGTCTTTTTTTTTTTTTCTCTATATTTCCTTTTTATCCATCCAGGTGTGGCTGCTGAGCACCGTTCTCTACGTCCTGGCGAGCACCGAGGTCTTCATCCATGGGGACAAGGCTGTCCTTCCATCCTGCCCAAAATCACCCACGAGGTCTCTCCATCCCACGCTGAGCAGGTTGCTGCCACCTTCTATATCCTCGGCCAACGATCCAGCGGGATTTATCTGCGACGGGACCACCCCCCATCCCCTTCATCTTCCCCATCCGGCGCCGAAAAAGATGTGTACTCACCTGGGTCAGGAGCAACGCACTCGCACTTGTACATGGTCACGTAGTCCGGCTTGAAGTCGGAATTGATGGGATAGTATTTAAAAGCTCCGATCATCTTCTTGATGGCATCGTAGATGAAGATGAAGCTGATGAGGGTGGAGAAGCCTTCCTCTGTGAAGCGGGTGATGTACTTTATAATGAAGCTGGCGTCGGTGGCCACCAGGATAAGGCACTGTAGGGCAGAGTGCAAGCCGATCCAGAGCCGAAACTCCATGTAGTCGATGCCGTTGCCTCTAAAAGTGGGGACAAGGTGACAATGAGAGCACGCTGTGGGCTGGAGGACAGCCCCCATCCCAGCACAGATGGGTCCCGGTTCCCCCCGGCATTGCCCAGCACCTACTTGCTGAAATCGAAGAGCAGCTTCTCGAAGATGAGGATGGGGCCGGTGCTGCTGAGGATGATGAGCGGTTGCCCGGCAAAAAGGCAAAACATGGAACCTGCCATTGCCGTGCCGAGGAAGCTCTCCATGACACCCTGGGATTGGATCAAACCCAGCGTTATGGTCATGCTGCACCACGTTACCTCCCCATGGCCACCCCAGATGGAGACGGGAATGAAGGACCTCAGCTTGGTCCCACGTGGGATGCTTGGGACCATGTCCTCTTGCTCCTAGCATTGCCATGGAGATGGGTTTTCCCATCCCACATGTATTTCAGGATGCCAGTCCCACTTGGCAGTGGATTTCCATCCCCAACATTAAAGCTTGGCATGGCACAAGGAGGGTATAACTTCATACCATCGCATCCCATCCTGTCCCATCCCATCGCATCCCATCCCATTGCGTCCCATCCTGTCCCATTGCATCCTGTCCCATCCCATCCCATCCCCATCCCCATCCCATCCCATCCCATCCCATCCCATCCCGTCCCGTCCCATCCCTCCTTGCTCTTCCCAAGCCAAGGTGACCCCCATGCTTGGACTCGACCTGGTAGTTGTCCGTCGCGTCCCCAAGCAAGCCCCCGAAGGTGATGGCGTTGGTGATGCAGCCCAGGTAGATGAACAAGATGGCAGAGATGGACTGGATATGGAAACCTTCATAGAAATCGCTCGGGAACCAGGGCAGCTTCCTCTTGATATCCAGATAGAGGCCACCGCAGAACCTGGGGAGATACCACCAAGGACCAGATGCACATGTCTTCCACCAAAACTGAGAAAGGATTTCACCCTCCGTGCTCCAGGAGACCGTGGGATGAGCCAGGAGATGCTGATGGTTGCTGCTCACCTGCCAGTCCACGTGAGCTCTTCCCCGATTTCGTGAACTTCGGGCATCTCCCCATCCTCACTGCCTCCTCCACCTCCCCCAGCGCCCGCCCCGCCGGCCGTGCCATTCATCTGCCCCACTTCGTTCAGGGAGAAAACCGATTTCCTGCAGGAGAGAGCCACCGGCATCGGCCACGGCACCCGCCTTACCAAGCTGGTCCTGATGCGGGGGCCATGACCAAGGCCGTGGTGTGGTCTTGAATTTTGGGGTGGATTTGCTCAGCCTAGGGGAGTATGGAAATTTTGCAGAGAGGAAATGGCTCTGAGCTCATCTCGGGGCAAAAACTGCTGAAAAAGCGGCGCTTCTGGAAAATTTGTGGAGATTCTTTCCAGGAATAAAGGCAAGCAAAGCTGTTGT